TTTCGTACTTTTCAACACATTCCTTCGTCTACTTAATAAGGAGTGTATATGTAGTGTACGTAGACACCGAATATAAGTGGAAGAAAGGAAGAGCTAAGTTCGTCTATAACCGAACATTTCATACTAATGCGACTTGCAGGGATTAAAGCCAGGAATATATCTTCAGAGCACAAGACTTATTAGTTATATAGGGTCTAGGGCGAGCTTTTACCAAGACAGACACACAGAAATATTTCAGCTCACCTCGTCATCCTGATAATTTATATATATGCAACCCTATAGCTATCTCGAATAGTTTTTTGGTGATACGCATAACCGTTAGGTAAACAAAACTATTATTTTCTGTAGCAACATGTTGCAATTGTATATTGAGGCAATTATATTTAACTGCCAAAGATGCTCAAAGGTGATAATAAACTGTTAAATTAAGTGAGAGGAAAGTGAAGTACCTGAGATTGAAATAAGTACAAAGGAAAAGTTGACGGAGGACCACTTGTAGGTAATAATGTGGAAAGATGTGTATCTCTCGTCAACAACAGGGGTGGTTCGAAGAGTAAGATTTTAAGTTCAATCAATTTAAGGGCTATATTGCAAATGCGGTTGTTGGCCTGCGTAACCGAGATAGCAAAAATATAGAGAAGGCGATGACCAGAAAGTGGAATCTCCGTTCACACTTAACAATATCTGGATCCAGAAGCCGAAAGAGCATCTCTGAGTGATTTGTTATGAAACGAGACTATTGATAAAGTGACGATTTTATCATCTGATTGCTTCTTATGACTTTAAATTTCTTGTCAATTTTCTCTATCCATCATCACTGTCGAGAACAATGCTAACCTTGAAAGATGATGTATAATTACTCTTTACAGCACGCGTTACCGTGAACTGTGAAGGCAATTGAGAAGTAAGACTACGAAAAACCGAACTTATTGCGAGAGAACTTGGAGAATGAGCATCATATGAGCTGAATTTTGCAAGGCTTGAGTTCAGATTAGGTTAAGTTAGGTCGTATTGTCGATCCAAAATCGATGGATCTGACTTGTACAGATATTTGTTCTTTGTGTTATCGTTGAAATCCTGAAAGTGGATAATCAGATCATCACAGATCGACGAAGCGTTTTGAGCTTACAACAAAAGTATTAAAACTGTTCAATTCTAGCAGTTTCCAAAATATTTGGCCGCATCCTATATTGAACAGTGTTCAGTCAGAACATATACTATTGTGACGAGATTAACTCTGCTAAGAGCCAGTAATTCGGAGGTCCTCTAACGGTTTACCGATACCAGAACCTATCGCCCACATCCAGAAGGATATCGCAGGTGCTCAAATTCTGATTTTTGAGCAGCGCTTCCTGAGCTGACTAGAGGTCCAAAGGTCCATTACCAGAAGGTAAGGGTATCGGAAAACCGACTCGCTTTCAGTCGGATCAAAAAAAAATTTGTGTTGAGGACAAAAATCTCAAAGAACATTAGTTGCCTTCAAGAAATTGCATATATCTTGCGTCAGCATAGTCAGCATAACATTTTTAAGTCCCTGATCTATCAACCGAGCCTCATATGGTCCCTTCCATTTGTTCACACTTGTTGCTAAGGCAATAAGAGCATCAAATTCATTTTCAGATAACGAAATTAAAGTGTCAAAGTGGGGAGCCATCATGAAAACTGTTCAAATGAAAGCAACAACAATAGCACAAAGCGCTGGTGTAATAAAGGAAAGTGTCTGGTTGCGGCTAAGTTAGCTTTCCGCGCCGGTGTGTGGGTAGTTATTGAAGCAACAGGTGCTACCGGACGCCCTCGCACACAACAATTACGGCAACTATTTACTAAAATTAACCGAAAATGACGGAAAAATTGTGGCATCAATAGATAAGTTTGACTAAGTTAATAATTAGGCTATATGAAGAGGCCAAGTGGTGGGCCAAATGGCTAAGAGGAGAAAAGTAAGCCTCATGGTAGCAACAAAAGCAAAAAACGAAGGCACCACGTTACGCCGCATTCAACAATCGTGCGATCTGCTACACGCTGTTGCCACCAGCTTCGGTTATGGTCCAATATCTACTCGCTGGCGACGTTGTTGCCACATTTTAATTAGCAACAATTCATTTGTTAAAGTTAATTTGTTATTATCGCGTCAGCGTAAGTTTTTAGGCAACATAAAAAAAAAAACCAAAACAATGAAAGAAACAGCAAAGCAGTATTTCGGTTGAGATTAGAGCGGAGACCGGGCGAGAAGGTAAACACGAGTATACAAGAATAAGTGTGTATGTGTGAGTCTGCGATAAAGATTAGACAATGTTGATGAGATCGCACTTTTGGCGCTTATGAGCGCAACAGCCGCCCCAACAACAACAACAACAGCGGCAGTCTACTGCAGGCTATTATGCTCTGTCATTATACACATGTTTTTGTATGTGTGTGTTTGCGTGTCAGTTGCCAGCGCTACCTGCTGTTTGCTTGCAACATCCACGCCAAAGCGCTCGTCTCCAAGCGGCTGCAGCTCCAATAAGGTTCGTGCGGGTTACCCAAATACACAACACACTCCATTAACAATGTTGTCATTATCACATTAACACATTTATTTTTGCCGCAGCGCCGTTATTCGCAGAAAATGTACACATATATACACACAGTGTGCGTGAACACAAACAATTTGTTTTGTCTTCTTCTTTATCTATTTTATGCTTATGAATATACTTTGTAGGGCCGCATATAAATATTGTTGTTGTAACTGTTGGCTGTGTTGTGCCTGTTGCATGTCGAAAATGTTATAGTATTGAAGTTGTTGAGCAGACTGTTGATAAATGATTGTGAGTTCTTCGTAATAAATGTTAAATATTTTAGTTTACGCTTAGATAAGTAAATTTTTCTTATATAAGCATTGCTTTTCTGACCTCAAAAACGGTTCCTTTGCGAATGGCAGGCACCTTGTCGTGGTGCAGGGTCTTAAGCCTCAAGGCCGACTCGGTATCTCTTAACCGTCGTGAACGGTGCTGTACGGCATCACTATTGCGGGTTGCCAGAAGCTGGATGCGTAACCAAGTGCATGCTCGCCCGTTCCGCAGCATCTACTAACATGAAAGGAGACTAAACCATTTATAGCGGAGGGTCCTCATACCTTAAAGAAGCTGCTCCGCAAGAAATAAGGAGTGGGCTGAGAGAGGTGTTGACAACAACTCCAAGGCATGGACCATGCTAAGTTGCTCTTGGGAGGTCGCAACCATATAAGGTATAAATATGTAATGTATGTACTTGTCGCATTCTACACTGGCTGAAGGAGAACTTATATAACAAACACCTAGCTTATTTTGCAAATTGGCGGTTCTGCGGCAGAAAGTTGAAACTCCAGAATATCTACCAATTGCCTGCATAAATACCCTTGGATCAGTGTTTCCAAATAGGGATCACATTGCCTCACTAGCATCGACGTAGCAGCTAAATACACCAGAGACATTAAATGTTAGGTCGGGGGGTGAAATTTGGATGAACGGCGTGACACCGCTCACATTTCGGTGAAACCCCGTTTCTCACTACGTCGATTGGGTCCCATACCGACCATATTTTGTATATAATGTTAGTTTTGGCATTTTTCATGCCTAAATTCCATCTGATTCCTTCCAGAGTTGGCAGTTCTTTTTCGAATACCGAATAATAAACTCGGATTCGTTTCGATTACGTATACCCGAGCGTAGGAGGAACGGCTAAAACTTTGCTCGATTAGTGCGCTTAAAGTAGGCCACCCTAGGATCAAAAAATTTTCCAAAGCCGAACAAAATTATTCAAATCAGATACCGATATGTGGATCAAAGTTCCAAATGCGAACTTTTTATCGAAAATTCGATCAATCTGTGAGTTATATTATAAAAATTCGGAGACAATCCTTTTCTAATATGACTGTACGACAAAAAAATTAGTTGAATCGGATCAATAAGCTAATAGAAAGAACTTCCATTATACCGCATATATTGGCACATGTGTGAGTTGTTTTTCTATGACTTTGATCCTGACAAGATGCAGAAATTTGAAAAATTCGTTTACTCTGAACTTAGAACGTCCTTACTTGTTTTTAATTTAATTTGAAGAAATAGAAGAAGCGGAAGATCCTAATGAAAGCGCTTTCAACAAAAGATGCTCAAGTAATTGTTAATTCATCTTACTAGCTTTGGAAAATGAAATGGTTCTCAATTATTTCCATGGTACTAATGAACCATATTACGGAAACTATATGCAGATCAATTTGCGCAATTTGCGCAACACTTTCGAAGACCAATTGCCGAAAATGTCGATAAAACTAAGGAAATCGAGTAGTGCGTTGCGTAAGCGCTGTTTCTGTAGCTCAGGAGGTAATTATTGCAAAAAACCGCTTGGAACATTTTAAGTGAGGATGGATACAAAAGGAAGCTGAGGAAAGTGTTTAGGGCAGGGAATCATCTATAAAGAGCTGCTCTCATACAGCCAAATATTTCAGTCGAACCAATACTGTGAATAACTAGACCGTGTAAGCGAAGTAATCACCCAGAAGCGGTCAGCTACGGTCATTAGGAATAAATTGTGTTTCATCAGGACAACATATCGATAGTGATTCACCGGTAATGTATCCATTTTATAGTCCGGACCGGGCACAAAGTGACGAGTACCCTGATTGTGAAAGTCGACTGTCACTGCGTCTGCCAAAAAGAAGGTGGGTTTCTATGAGAGTGTTATTATGAAATCATCATCAAATTGGCAACAAGCTACCGAACAAAACGGTTGATATCTTTAACTACACTTGCAATATTATTATTAACTTCTTTCTTTATCTTGAGAAATTGCTAGGTAGTACTTTCAATAATGTGAAACTCTCTCGTTATTATCCGGGCGTAGTGCAGAGTTGATCAGATGTGTTCGGGGATTTGGGGATGATTATCAGAAGTAACTTTCATATATTATAATATTTTGTTAATATCTTCGATATATGACTAAATTTCAACGAAATCACATTTGCCTATTGTTTCATTATACAGATTTTGGAATCCAGCAACGAAGAACAACGACCACCCAACGAGGCTAATGGCAACACAATGGCACAACGTACCTCCTGGTTAAACAAGTTGAATGCCATGGATGGTGTGGATACACAAAGAAAATATGGCACACGTGGCATCTACGACAATGGACGTTACTATTAAATTACAAGCCGCGATGGATAAAAGTAGAAAAATATGAAAAAAGCAGTTAAGTGAAGGTGTTGACGACCAAAAATATTGAAATTAAACCAAATCCACATTGAAGACAAACAAGATAAAGCGCGAAGATGGTAGTGTGCCAAAATGCACAAAGAATAAGAAAGTGAGGTGAAAGGGTTGGTTTTTTATAAAAAGAAATTTTTGATTTTGGAATTGCCAATTAGTGTTTAATGCACGCTCTTCATATATAATAGGTTAAAAAATATGTTACAGAAATAATTAAAAAAAATTTCAATGTCATTACAAGCTATTTAGCAGAAAGATTGATTTAGATAAAATGTAGTAGAGGTGAAAACTTTCGGTTTACTGAGTTGTATGTCGGCTGGAAAGCTTTCACTTTAATTCTTTCAATATTATTGCAATCTTCTCGGCAAGCAATATATCAAGATAAAAGCTCTCGTTTTATCTGTTATTGAGTTATATTACAGCTCGAAAGCTTTTACATATTCTCTTTATGAGCTGACAATGAAAGCTTTCACGCAAGCTGTTGTAGATTTACGTTTTGTGAATGCTTTTGATACAAATACATTGCTTTATGACAGTTTTTACCGAAAGCATGTTTGTGGTTTCAAAAGCTTTTTATCAATTTCATAAAAATTCCGTTAAAAAAATGTTTGATAATTCAGATAAAGAAAATTGGTAATTTGCAAAATTTTTATATTAATTTACGAAGCTTCAGCAGTTAAACTTTAAGCTCAAATTTAAGTGAAAGTTTTCCGTAAGCTTAAGTAATTAACATTTTAGAAAACGAAAATAATTTTCATTTTATCTGTGCACCTTAGAATTTCTCCTTAATGAATGCAAATATTTTGTGTCTTTGGAGCTTTCAAGTTCTCTGAAAATATTTGCAAAATCACAAAATATTTAGTATGGCTATTTATTAAACTTTTGAAAGCTTCTGAAATAGTAAATAGTTATTTAAATTTAAATAGTTTTTTAAATTTTCCATTTTATTTTAAAAGAAGCTTTTCTAAAGCTTATAATTGCATCAAGTGAACTTTTAGTACAAAATTTATTCTTTTATGAGTTTTCTTATTCTATTTAAAAGGTGAAATCATATTCAGAGTGAAAGCTCTTAAAGTTGCAAGCTTTCACGCTACGTTAGTAATTCTCTCATTGTTAAAGAGCTTTTTGGGTTCCTGTAGGTTTTTTAACCATTTTGTCGTGTTAGTTAACTTTTTCAGTTATTATTTAAAATTAGTAAGCTTACTGAAATAAGCAAGCTTACGCCTATGAATAGATTACGAAGAGGCAAACCTCATTGAGTTTTAAAATCCTTGCAAATTAAAAAAAAAAAAAAAAAATACTGTTAATTTCTCCCAACAAAATTACAACAATTTGTAGTATATACGTATTCATTGATCTATATACTCGTATGTATGTGCTAAACCTATTTGAGGAAAGAAAAACTTTAAATGTTCCTAAATATGTATGTAACAGCAACAATAATTAACAATATGTATGTATATTATATTTAGCTTTTAGTAGAAAAATGTTTGCCATAAAAATGTTATTTTTAGCAATTTAATCATTCATATATGGATATTGTGTAATTGTATTTAAGTGAGCGGCGGACAACAAAAACAAAAACTGTTATGTATTATATGTATATGTAACATGTACTAAAAGTTTACTCCTATATATTATAACTGTAATTGTAAATGTTGACATGAAAACAATAATTTTTCGTAGTTTTTAGGCCAAAGCAAATAAAAACGTGGAAAATACCGAAAAAAATATTAACAAACTAAATGAGTTAACAGAAAATATTTTAAATTTAATTATATATATATATACTTATATATATTTATAGTCAAGGCGATAGCAAACTAATACGTTCTATACCAAATGAAACATTTTAAGTGAAATTTTAAATAAATACTCACATATATACTCGTGCATATGTATGTTGTATCAATCAAACCTGGGCAGCTTTATGTTGAAATAATAAATAATAGAAAACTAAAATAATTATTATTGTTTTAATTTTCATGTGATGCGAGTACGTATTGTTCTTATTGGGAATATGTGAAATAAATATTGAAAGCTTTCACGCAAAAGCTCATGCTGAGAGCTTTATTGTGAAAGTTCATACTAAGAGCTTTCATGCAAAAGCTCTTACCTAGTTATCAATATAGAGTAGCCACCTTTTTGAAAAGAGGTACAATCTTCTACAATACTGTACAGCTGCTGGCGTATGCCAATGATATTAATATATTGGCCTCAACATCCGCGCCGTTAGTTCTGCTTTCTCAAGACTGGATAAAGAATCAAAGCAAATGGGTTTGGCCGTGAACGACGATAAGGCGAAATATCTCCTGTCATCAAACAAACAGTCGCCGCACTCGCGACAAGGCTCCCACGTCGCTGTTCACAGTCATAACTTTGAAGTCGTAGATAATTTCGTCTATCTCGAAACCAGCATTAACAGCAACCTCAACGTCAGCCTCGAAGTGCAGAGCAGAATAACTCTTTCCAACAGATGGTACTTCGGACTGAGTAGGCAAGTGAGGGTAAATTCCTCTGCCGATGAATAAAGAACAAACTCTACAAGTCATTCATCACACCCGTCCTTTTGTATGTTGGAGAAGCATTGACGATGACAACATCTGATGAGTCGACATTGCGAGTTTTCCAGAGAAAGGTTTTGCGAAAGATTTATGTTCCTTTGCGCATTGGCCACGGCGAATACCGATGGAGCGATGAGTTGTTGATGGCGAGATGGATGAGATGGCAGTTGCTAAGTTCTATTTCTTACACTGAAAAATCCTAACGGTAAATTCAATTATCAGCAAACACATCACTTAATAAATTGTAATCAATTCATTAAACTCCAACTTGTTTACTACACCAAGTGCTAATGCACTTAAAAGCTATCAATGAACCGAAATTATTTTTACAAATGTAATGTAAAACCAAAGCAAAGTAAGTAAGTATATCCCTGCAAAGTACGTCAGTGCTAGAAATTCCATGAAAGAAATTTCCGAAAAAAGCGTGTGTATAATAAACTTGATGAGGAAGGTCAAGGGCCCTCAGCAAAGCGCGCCATTATTCATGGGCTCGCTAAGTATGTAAACAAAGGCGGCAAAAGAACAATGTAAATGATGACATCAACGCACACAAGAAGATGAAGAAGGAACACACAAAATGTACGCAAGTCAACCCAAAAACAAAAGCGGTTTTTGTTAAGCTGTTAAGAAGTCATAATTAGGTCGGCGTTGTCACTTAAAAGCAACTGTCTTTAGCAACGCTTGTCCTTAACGACAGCAAAATATGACCCCACTGCCAAAAAAAAAAGTATGTTTACACACTTATATGTACGAGTACATGTGTTGCCTTTGGTGTTATCGCTGCGGTTGTCACTCTTGTTTGCGGTCATGTTTTGCGTTGCTGTCTGCTGATGACGTGCGAAAAATTATGTATTGCCACATGAAAATAGCGAAAATGGATGTAAGGAATAACATGAAAAAATTGCCAGAAAAAACCAAAAATGGCACGAGAAATGTGAAAGAAGCAACAATCAAACCCTAAGCTTTTATTGCCTAAAAGTATTTTCTGCGCAGTTTAAGCTTGTTGGGAAATTTTTGTATTTCTTTACAAAGGACATACTCAATCTATACGAGATATACGAATTTTCGTCTTCATTAATGTGGTCGCCTTCAAAATATTCTCCATTCGGTATTAAGTACTTATTTCAGAGCTACTTCTAATCACTCTTTCAGCGAGTTTTATCTTTATTTAAAAAAAAAGCATTAACTTCGGTTGCACCAAAGCCCTTCACAAATGCAAAAGATTACATACAAGAACTTCGATCGATCCTTTTGTCTGGCAGCATATGCTATAGTGGCGGGGATTACACCCTTGCCGTAGAAAATACATCATGCCAAATTTCGCAAAGATATCTCGCCAAATGGCAAAGCCATAGTTATATGGTACTTATACTGGTCCGATATCGGCAGTTCCGAAAAGTGAGCTGCGTTTTGGTGAGAAAAGGATGTGTCGAGTCGAATAATATAGGATAGAATAATTGAGAAGTATTTGAAGATATGTTTAGCTAGGTAAGCTCCACTTCTAGGCAAAAAAAAAAATATATATCGTTAAAAGACTGGTTTCACAAAACGACACATAACCCGTCAAAATTGGAATAACGTATATGATCTGATTAAACTAAAATTAATTTGTTTGGATTTGATGGAAAAATATATGTACGATGCCCAAAAAAACGCGACCCCAAACACACTTAAGGTCTCCGATGTTTCATTTTAGGTGTTACAAACGTCAAGGCAAGCTTAAAATCATCTGTTCAGGTAGAAAAAATGACAATTGGATTCTCCAAACCCAAGAAGTTTTCAAATTATTTTCTGATCACGCCACTTAAAGACACTTAAGTATATATAGCAGATATTAAACTTTTTTTTAAACATTTGTATAGAATATAGAATCAACTTCAAGTATTCTTTAAGAATAATGCGGATATCACAGTGTTTGGTTGGATAAACAATCGGGCCTTTCGGTAGACTAGATTGTCGTAAAAGCGCCTTAAGGCTAGTTAAAAGTTAGAAAAATATCTCTTGAAATAGTATCATCTTCCTTCTATCGCAAACCTAATACATACATATGTATATCCTGCTCAAGGGAGTATCTGGCAATATTCCCCCGCAATACGCAATTGGTTTGTATTTTACTTTAGAGGATAAAAGAGTAGAGAAAAAGATCAGGTCGGAGGCAGTAGCGAAGCCGCGCGAAGTCTCTTTATCTAGACTCTTCTACCATAAATCTTCAATATCCGTTTATTATGTTTCAACTGTATTCTGTTTCAATGAAGAAAGCCTTAGTTATTATAAGCTATATTAAAAATAATATCTGTTGAATAAAATGGAGAAAACTAGGAAATAAATTCAGAGAATAACAAGAAAAAGTCAATAATGGGAAACTGGGTTCGAATCGAGTTCTTCTAGAATGAAAGTATCACTCCTATATATACTCTTACACAATTCTTAACACAGGAAAGCACCTAGAACTGAGAAGTCGCTCATGTAAAAGAGAGATCGAAATACATTCAAGAATTATAAATATCAAGAGCAGATATAAAGGTGGGTATACAAGTGTTCTCTACTAAGAATTCAGTTTTTGGCGTATTTTTAAAAAATATAAAAAGTGTTCCATTTGGGGAAATGATTACATGAAAGTATGCGTTTGAACATTAAGATCAAATGGAGTTGTTTTGGTTGAATCTGGCAATGTTATTAAGCAAACCGAGTTTAGTTCAGTCCAAGTTTCTAAAAGTCAGTACTGAATGGCTCGAACACATTATTAATAATTTTCATGGATAGAGTGTATACAATATATGAATAAATCTTAACAAAAATTTACATCACGTTAGCCATTAAAGAATATAACAAAGTCATACTAAATTTACCTGAAATAGAAAAAAAGGGAGATTAATGAGCTTCAAATCATATAATTTGAATTTAAAAATTCAAAAATTAACATAGAATGAAGTCATGTCTAAGGTATAGAGTGGAATTCAATGAAAATAAGATATTAGATCATCCCAGGCGCAAACGAAAAACCGTCTAAGTAAGGCTAGGCTTTCAATATTTGGAGACCCTTCGGTATGAGACCCTTGAAGAGCACAGCATCTATTGATATTCGCGTCAAGGGCAGGCCGAAAAGGATGATCACTACTTATGGATCTAGTAACTGATCTCCATCTGATAACGCAAAGGTTCAAAAAAGGTCTATGCGAGGCTCATTATCCCACGTGGCGTTGAAAACAAACTACAAAAGGTTCAGTAATATCCCTACTATTGTTAACGGGGAAGCCAATTTTTTGTCTTCGGCAAGCAATCACTGAATATTTTTACTGTGGACGAGGTTAGTTTTATTAGTAATATCTCTAGAGGAGCTTTTTAATAATTTTAAATTTATATGTATGGTAAGGATTAAGGCCTGTAGGCTTACATACCTAGTAAAAATGTTGCAACTTTGCAGAGAAGGTATACATTTGGCAGCTTCTAGATTATATTATCCCGCTTTTTCTTTGAAAGCAGAACGCAATCTACATATGGATCCAGATTTAGTTCTAAAAAGTTTTTATTCTTCGAAAAATTTTAATGACCTTACAAAATTGCATCACTTTTATTTTCGATTGTGTCAATGCAATTGAGGTCATCTTCGATTGGCTTGATACGAATTTTCACTTTTGAAGCGACTTGCCAAAAAAGTATATTCCTTTCAATTGGCAGTTTTGTTTATTATTTCATTTTCATTATTTCTCAAATTAGCCATATCTTCTTTTGTAATATGATTACCACATTTTTGGCAATGTGTACGCGAATTATGCGCAAAACGTGAGCGCCAATTTGTGTTGACCATGAGACCATGCCGACGATGATGATGATCGTTTACAACGATTACCGAAAGCGTAAAGTTTTT